TATATATATAAGTAATTATAAATAAAAATATGAATATATGAATGCGAATATAAATATGAACATAAATGCAACTATAAATATGAACATATGAATAATATGAAATAAATATAAATATGAACAAATATACATATGAACATAAATATATAAATATAAAGACAAATGCAAATATAAGTATATAAATACAATTACAGGCATAAATTAGATATAAATATATACATATACAATTATCTATAAAAAAGAAGTCGTCCCGTTATAATTAATGCAGTAAAATATTTCGCATTAAATGATCGGGACATTTATTTTTTTTCTCTACATAATAATATTCCTATCGAAGCAAATAAAATACAAAATATGCATTTCGCTTTCTATGAAATATTTTACAGCATTCATTAAAATGGGTTACTCTGTATCTAGATAGAAAATATCTTATTAGAAGTACCTCGTTTGAAATCTCGTTAACACGAAATCGTTAACTACGCAATTATGTATCGTCAGTATAAAGTAAGTCAGTATAAAGTTAAAGAATTTTGGCGAATTAGGCTTCGAGAAAATGTACATACCTTCAATAATATACATAAATCGTATTGCACGGCCGACGGTGAATTTTAACAGAAAGAGATTTATTATTTAAGAATCCAGTCGCGCCAAAATTATTTAATGCTGCAAATCAAAAAAAAGAGACCAAAGTTCAGTCAACTTAAAAAATTTGACTGCATTTCAATGTCGTCGAGTGCACATTTCTTCCGAGATTCGCTACAACATATGAATGCATATTCATATATTCATGTACATGCGCGCGAATTATTAATTCGTAAATAACGTAGCTTTAACGTACTTAAGAAACTGACAACTGATTTTTGAGATTATGCTTAAATATTTCCTCCTCGGAGATATACGCAATTACCCTTATTGATAATTTTGTAATAATTGTTGATAAATTGCGATTTAGAATAGCGATTGACCTTCGTAAAGCGATCGATACAAATGATTGCTTTGAGAAATACGAGATTTAGATTTGTCTAAGCTTGAATTTATATAACAGATGATTGACACGTTGATTACTACATTGCACACTATCGCGATTTCTAACGTTATTTAAAGAATTTGTCTTATTTTCCTGATGAATATTGCGCTCTTTAAATCGCGAATCTGATCGCTTTACCAATTTTTCTAATCCGAGGTATCCTTATTCTGAAATCAGCGTGTTAATGACACATCTCGATGATAATAATTCACAAGTTGTTAGCGTAGTTTAAGATTTAGTTTGTTATTAGAAAAGGAAGGCGATATAGTGTTTCACGTTATCGCGACCCTGATTTGTTACTTATTAAATAAGCTTCGACGGTAGTATAAAAATGTCACAGATAAAAAACGACGAGGAGATGCCAAGTAAAGAGAAATAATTTCAACTTTCACGATATATGCGTAAATGCATGGCCTTGTAAATGGTTCTTCTCCGTTATAGATCTTGGATCTAACACATAAGCTGTGCAACCCGCGAATATTTAGATACATAAGCGACGTATTTGAGTCATTTCTATCGTATTTTTTGAAGTATACGAACAATTTTTATTTTTTAGGAACAAAGATTTTATGATAATTATTATTTCAAACCAAAAATATCCATTTTAAATTAACGTTTTAAATTGTTTAATGATTCAATATTTATGATCTTTATAATCTTTTTATTTTATTTATTTATAATCTTTATTTTTATTTATCCAACGTAACATTTGCGAAGAACAAGAATAATAAATAAATGTTCTTTCTTTGTAGAAATTGCAATTAATATGAATTTATGTTTTAAATTATATAACGTTTAACACTCGTTTATTTTTTTCTTATTTCTATTTATCTAAATCGATACTTGCAATTGAGAATTAAGAGAAATAAATGATCTTTGCTTAAATCGCAATTAATATATGTATTTTCTCACTGTAAATTAAAAATTAAAGACTCGATATCCAATTTTAAAAAATTTCTTGTTCTTGTGTTAAAAATTGACTGGTGTTTTATAATTTATTTATGGTAATCAGAGTTTCTGATTTAAATATGCTGCATGATGCAATAACAAATGCATTTGTATCAAATGTTGTTTTATATGCGAGAAATTGATTTCGCGTCGATAGTCATATAAAAATGCTCTGGTCCTCGTCAAGTTCAATTTTTTTCAAGTTACGAAAAAAAGTTGGAGAGAAAAAAGAGAGAGAATGTGTGTATGAAAGGGAGGTTCCTACATGTCGCTCGA